GTGTATAATTACAGAGGTAGGGAAACTTGAGAAAGGAACAGAGCAGGGTGGGGAGGGGGTGAGCAAGATCAAGAGTTACTGTTTTAGCTTATTAAGTTTGAGATGCCTATGAGTCATTGAAGAGGAGACTGGATATATGAGTTTGGACCTCGGAGGATTGTCTGGGTGGAAGATGTGAATTTGAGAAAAAGCAGCTTATAGGTGGCATTTAAAAACACAAGAGTGAGTTATATTGCCTAGAGAGGTAATGCAGATAGAAAAGCAAGAGGCCTAGGGCATCAACATTTAGGGATTACTTAAAGAAGTGGGGATAAATAAGGAGGAAGAGGAAGAGAAGGCATGGACTGAAAGAAAGCCGTGTGTTGTGTTTGTCTCAGCAAAATCAAAAAAGCAGGTGTAGTGGAAGCTGTAGTACAATGCTCAGATCTCTTCAACACTGAAGCTCTTATCCACCAGCTGTTAGAATATTGACTACTGAGGGCTCTAGGCCAAGCTCCCGTCTAGGAATTGCCCTCCAGCCAAAGGGAGCTGCCTCATCCTAAATTAGGCCCTAGCTCTGGGGGCAACCCATTTACAACAACTGCTTAATTCAGGGATATAAATGCCAGCTGCTAGCTTCAATAGGGACAATTCTGAAGTGCCATCCCAGGTCCAGTGCTTCCTGTAGGATTCTCTGAGGACTTTGTTGTCACTGCATCATAGCTTGGTTTCTCTCTCTGTGGAATCCTCCTTCCCTCAGCTGTCACAGTTATAATTCCTGTAGAGCATTCTCCAATAAACACAACGAGATATATCTTGAATCGCAGTCCATTTCCTAGGAACAGACCTATGATAGGTGTAGAACAGCTTGTATTACAGAAATAAGGAGAATTTAATAATAATTCCAAAATCTAATAATTATGATGACCATGTGTTCCGCTTCGCCCAGAACAGCCTAGTTGTTGTCTATTGTCCCAGAAAAGTTATTAATAGTATTCCATTCCACTCTCAAAAATATTCTGGTTCAGACAATAAATTATATGATCATCTTACTGCTAATAACTTTTTAGCCTTGATCAAGTTCTTATTATTAAGAAGTTATTCATTCAGAATATTGTGGTGGTTAAGCGCACAGACTCTGAAGCTAAACTACTTAGTTTAAATCCCAGCTGCTTCTCCTACTAGCACTGTGACTATAAGAAGTTTACTTACATTTCTCTTAGTGCCTCAGTTTCCGCTAGCTCATGGAGTCATTGTAAAGTTAAGTAAATCAAATTTTAATTTTGCACTGTTCAACAGGATCTAGGAATAA